AGGGTTTGGAATAATTGGGTGAAGATATTTAATATTTAATTATTATATTGATACCTGAGTTTTGAATAAATAAACTTAACACCTTAATTTTGAAAATCAACTTTTTAAACACCTGATTTGTGTAATTTTCCCAAAAAACTATGTTATATGAGTGGATATTGAGTACACTTTAGCATTTAATAAAATTGACAAAAATAGCATTAAATTGGAGAAAATTATGATTTTATTTATTATTATTATTTTGAAAATTGCACTCCACCACTAGGATTTTTTCGTGGATATGAATGTTATCCTTTATATTTTGTATTTTCTTTTTAACTTGTGCAACATCTCGTAACTTCTATGGTGATTTATCTATAGTTCTTTATTTTTCTTTCTGATTTAACCCAAAAGAAATTTGGATATCTAGAGCCATTTTAAAATTTTATTTTCTCCGCCAGTGTCGAGTTCACGATCTTGAATTGAGAATTCTCGAATTTGTTTAAAAAACAAAAGAAAATAACATTTATTTATATCATATGTTGAACAATATTATTTTCCGACTATTAGCCTTTGACACCTTCTTTGCAAGATTGTTACCAAGACAATGATGAATTGATTAAAACGAGTTCTCACATAAATCAATTCTCCTCACAGTGTGCTTTTGTCCTTGGGCGCAAGATAATAAATAATGTGATCTCCACGTTCGAATAATGAAATCCATGAGATGCAAAACAAATGTCAACCCGAACTTCATAGTGCTAAAACGGGATATGAGCAAAGCTTATGATCGAGCTAGTGACGAGTCGAATGGTGTTCTGAAGAAATTGGATCGAGCTCGTAAAGTAAGGTATGATATTGGCCATATTCTCTTTTCTAATTAATGGTCAAAACACTATAATTTACAAAAATATCGTCAAAATTTCGACGCGATTTTTACACCTACTCTTAGACCTAACAGAGAGTCAGGGTTGGGGTCATGCTTTGGGGATTAAATCAAAGAAGAAATGCCCATGCCTTCTCAAATAATCTAAACCACAAAAACTCCCAAAAAAAAAAAAGCATTGAACAAATGAATCTTGGTCTTGGACCTGAAATTTCCTTACAATGGATAAAACAAACATCATCGACCACTCAAATCGTCATCTCACACTAGCCACCCAGAGAAGCCCAATGAAGTCAAGAAAAACCCAAGAGACCAGGCCACCTTACTGACACCACTGAACAAACAAACGGTAGCCATAAAAATGCTGTGTAAAGGGTCAGCAGTAGCCTCTCCTTTTTTGAATTCCCCCAAGTTTCTTTCCAAGAAAATCCCATTGATTTCAAACCCTGCATTTTATAATTCTTTGAGGCCTGTAATTGAATGGAATTCTGTTAGGAGTAGTACCTCAAGAAGAATGGCTCCAAGAATTGTGACCGCACGTGCCTCTGCAGAGAAACTCAAAGACCCTGATCAACTCATCGACTCTGTGGAAACTTTTATCTTTGATTGTGATGGTATGATTCTCTTAAAACTATTCACTAGTGTTAAATTAAGTACCCCTTTGTGTAAACGTACTGCGATATTGATTCATTGAGTGTAGTAATGTGTAATTATCCCAGGATCAACAGTAAATCATTGTTGTTTTGTGTAATACAACGCTGTTTTTCGTTTTTTCGTTTTTTCCTCTGCCTATGCCCTTTGGAAATTGTTGAATTAATATAGGGTAATGTCTAGGCAGTTGTTATGAGGAGAAGCAAGGAGGCCAATAGAAGGAAGAAAGAAGGAGTAGCAGACGAATGAAGGAAGGAGGAGGAAATAACGGATGCAACTGATTTTGAAGGCCAAGGAAACGGTGTCGTTTTGGTAGTATTAATATTTGTAATTGGAAGTGCGTTTTATCACTTCCAAAACACGTTTCTCTCCACCTATTATAACCTGATGGAGGGAAAGTATGGGGTGTGCTTTTGATTGATTTCGTTCCTCTTCCCCAGGTCGTCTTCTTCCTTATTTCTCTACCCTTTCTTCTCTGTCATCTTTCTTCTCTATCGTAATGTTTTAACTTTCATTTAAGGTTGTAACCTTCATTTTAGTGCTGTTAATTTCATTGGGTATTAACTTTCAATTTCATTTCTGTGTTAAATTACTGGTAAGCTTGAATTGAGATTAGTTTGAGGTTCAACCATAACAGCAGTGTTATTCTCTCTTTGCAATAAAGAAACCAGGGATATTACAAGCAGGGAATTGGTAGAATTTTTTAATTTCCAATTCAAATTTCAAACCTATACTTTTATACTTTGTTTTGAGGAAGCATACTGTTGCGCATAATGTGTTAATCTCTCGTACAGTTTCTTCGATTGAGAATTCCACTTCTGGGAAAATATTTCTTCAGATAATATATGAATTGCTAGAATTTCATTATCAACTATTTAATTGCAAGAATAGCATAGGTGCATAAAATTATTAAGTGATTTAACTTAGTGAGTAGATATAGGGAAACAAAAAATAATGCCTGCGGAGTTCCGTGTGCCATTACTGGTGGAACAAATTATTTCCATTGTATCAGTCGAGGTAAAGGTTGACCAGAAAGACAGACAACACCTTTTATTGAAGAATTATTGGATTGTACAGAAGGACTTTAAGGGGTTGTTTGATAAAGTTTTGATAAAAGTTTTAGTAGATTTTGATAAAAGTATGTTAATGTGCGGTAGATAGTTGATAAAAGTTGTGGTCTCATTTAACTTGTGGTTATAATTGAAGTTTGACTAGTTGAAATTTTAGCATTTTTTTTATCAAGCAAGCACTAAATAGGAAAATTCAAGGAATATATGATACACTTGTAATAATTCGGAGGAGTCAAAATGGACGTTTCTCTTTTAAGACTTTAGCACAGGACTGAAGTTGTTAATACTTTCTGTTTTAGTGTTAACCGGATTTCTTTATATTTTACAGGAGTTATATGGAAGGGAGATAAATTGATAGATGGGGTCCCAGAACCCTTGATATGCTTCGGTCTAAGGTTAGCATTATAATCATGGCTCTTGTCTATATGCTATTAATTGATTATGGCTTTGAATTGATAGTCAATAGATGGGTGAAGAAGAAGCTTGGAGTTCATCATTTGATTACATGAGATGCCAATCAAGAAATTTCATGACTGCATTAGCAGTGCATTTTTACCTGTTTATAATTTGGATTCTTCTTTGTTTAGGGTAAGAGGTTATTTTTGTTACCAACGACTCAACAAAATCACGAAAACAGTATGGGAAGAAGTTTGAAACACTTGGTCTTAATGCCAGCGAGGTGGGTTTATGATTATTTGGTTTCGAGTTCTCGTACTTCTTTTATCTATAACTCTAACTGCCACTCTTCATTTCAGGAGGAAATCTTTGCATCATCCTTCACTGCTGCTGCTTACTTGAAGTCAACTGATTTCCCCAAGGATAAAAAGGTGTTTATATTTTAAATTAAAAAAAAAAAATGATGAGTTTATGCTTTCACTCTAAAGCCCACAGACCAATTCCATCTTGGATCTTACCTGCAAACATCTGGTTGGAGTATTATTTTGCCGAAGAATTTACTATTCCCTTGTCATCTCTAATTTTTGAGTTCATCGCTTCTGTCCTTATCGTGTCTGCACTGTAGCTATAGTTCTTATGATGTCTGCTCCATAGTCATATTTCATGGTATTGTTTGCTTAAATATATGAACTAGTTAATAACATGAAATATCATTTATCAATGACTGACCATATTATGGAACATTTTCAAGGTTTACGTTGTCGGAGGGGATGGCATCTTGAAGGAGCTCGAGTTAGCCAGAATTCAGTATCTTGGTGGGCTAGTATGTATTAGATTTTAAATATATTTTAATGAACTTTCAAAATATACTTTTTGATCCTATTTTTATTTTTGCAAACAATTGTATGAATCTTATGTCTTTATATGATTTGATTTGAGCTAGCTATCTAACATGGAGAATTCATGTGCTTTCAGTGCTTCATTTAGAACTTAAAAGGACAAACATTGGCAAAATAGAAGTCCCTGCAAATCATATTTCAACTATTAAGTGAGCACAGTGAATATTATAATACAGCTAATGAGCACAATTATAATGTTCACTGGTAAAGGTTTCTAATTAGTATATAACTTCCAATTGTTGCTTGCGTGATTGACCATATCAGTGGAAGTCATGACTGAAATCCAAAGAAACGAGACTTATCATGGAGAATGCTCTCAGTTTGTCAAAGAATAGTGTCAGATAGCACATTTCCTGACTGCAAGTATATAACTGGACAAATTACTCATAATCTTCTCCATATCTTTCTGGGAAACGGTATTGCAAAAATTATAGGTGTGAATCATGTTTTAAAAGAGTTAATATATGGACCTGAAATGGATCTTTGCCTTGTTTGTGTACATTAACATGTTTACTTTCATGGTTGGACCAAGTCTGAGATTTTGTGGATCCGTAGCTTGGCTGCTTTGCATTTTTTACTAGTGTTATGGGTCTATTGAATTGTATGTATTGTGTCTACTGCCTTTCTGCTCGTTTGAATTTGCAGTTGTGGATAAATATGATCTCTATGGTTTGACCAACTCTTTCCATTCTTGATGATCTCACCAATGCATTTTTTACTAGTATTATGGGTCTATTGAATTGTATGTATGGAGTCTACTGCCTTTCTGCTCGTTTGAATTTGCAGTTGTGGATAAATATGATCTCTATGGTTTGATCAACTCTTTCCATTCTTGATGATCTCACTAATGCATTTTTTACTAGTATTATGGGTGTATTGAATTGTATGTATGGTGTCTACTGCCTTTCTGCTCGTTTGAATTTGCAGTTGTGGATAAATATGATCTCTATGGTTTGACCAACTCTTTCCATTCCTGATGATCTCACCAATGCTTGGCTCACATGTCATCTCTATTTTACATTTCATAGGGAGATAGTGAGAAGAAGATTGAACTAAAGCCAGGTTATATGATGGAGCACGATGAGAATGTACATATCCATCATTTTATATGCTTCTGAAATTTAGTTACCACTTCACATATTCCTTTAAAGGAAATGGCATTACCACCTAATTCTATGGAGAAATAAATTTTAACATGAACTTTGTTACTAAGACAATAGTTTTTATTACAGCTGCACTAATCACTTGTTTATTTTGGACTAGGTTGGGGCTGTTGTAGTTGGATTCGATCGATATTTCGACTACTACAAAATTCAGTAAGTATTCTTGATTTCACCCTGACACTGAATATGCACTTACTGTTCCTAATCTCCAATGCTCTGTTATTATTAGTTACATAAATTATATTTCTGATACATACAACTTCGAAATACTCCTAAGTGACAACCCCAACAAACAAGATAGATTCTCATTGGCTCCAAGTCTTTAGTGGCAGTTCTACCCATATTTTTCATAGATTCTATGATGTTGAAGGCCCAAGAGATATGTTAGTAAGAATTTACTGGTTTGAGTAAAACGTGTTTATTTGGAAAAACACATACAGATTTATTTATTTTTTTAATTCAATGTTAGATTTCTAATTTTTCCGCTATGAAGGTACGCAACTCTCTGCATTCGTGAAAACCCAAGCTGTCTTTTCATCGCTACAAACCGTGACGCTGTGACTCATCTCACTGATGCTCAAGAATGGGCAGGTTTCATTTCATTTGTTGAATTGATTTAGTTGTATTCACTTTATTTAAGCATTATAACTGGTGTTTAAGTTTAGCTTTTTTTTATGCACTCTATGGATTGAGCCGGCACATAGTACATTTGAACTTTGAGCTTCCTTATGGGTTTGAATTTTTAGCATGAAAATGGTTTCCTCCTGTTGCGAAAGTTGTATTTGGAATTCCGATAAGATTAGAAAGTAGAAGCAACTTTCATGCTTGCATTTGGAGGCAAAAAAACATCTGTATCTAAATTGATGAGCCCATAGATATCTTATCTTTTCATGTACATTTACATTTTTCAAAAGCAAAAGTTGTATTTTGGGATCGCAACTAGGAATTTTAGAGTCAGTCTGTGGGTTCTCTCCGTACTTATGTATCATTTCTGCTGAAATTTGTATGGCCTTGTTTATTGGCTCAGAAGCGCGTTTAACATTCATCTTCGCAAGGTATACACTTCACTTGTGACTTCATGACCATTTCGACATTTGAAAGGACTGGTAGTCTAGTTAAAGCACTCTTATGATCACAATACAAATGAGATAAGCCAATAAGGGCAGGTATCCATTATATCCAAAGTTAAAAACTTGCTGACCAAGTTTTTAATAATTTTGCTCCTAACTTTAAAGGATTGAGAAGCATAATCAATATATTCTTGAGCTTTGTTATTTGTATTATATTCGAAATCGTTTTTTTTCCAGTGTACAGGAATGAATAGTCAAGACATTGAGGCATTTGCTAGACTGCTTTTTTGAATTATCAAAAACTCATTTTTCAGAATGTACATGTTGCATCTGAATAATTAAATGCATTTTCCATTAATTTTTATAAGAAAACAATATTTTGTGCTTAAAAATTGCTATTGTTTATCATACTCTTAAGATTTACCTCTCCATATCCTGAATTGCTTGAGAACTTTGCTTGGAATCAGGTGGTGGTTCAATGGTAGGTGCCATCAGTGGTTCCACTCAACGCGAGCCTCTTGTTGTAGGAAAGCCCTCGGCTTTTATGATGAACTATTTAGCAAACAAGTATGTTTAGTTTCCTCTTTGCCAAATGTTATGTATTCTTTAGTTACAATTTTTTTTTCCAGGTATCTGTATACTTACATATTGTATACTGTGCGAGTAAGAGAATTTTTCTGATGCAAGAGATTCAACCATAGCTTGACGAAAGAAATTCTCTCTCACCTCAAATATTAGTTTCTTTAACGAAAATCTGATCTCAAAGTCTCAAATATGCATGGTTGGAGACAGACTCGATACTGACATTCTTTTTGGACAAAATGGTGGCTGTAAAACCCTTCTTGTCCTCTCAAGTAAATTTCAGAAAATATTTTGTTTTTCATTTTTTGTAAGTTATGACGTTAAGATTTATACAATGTGTCATCTAAAATACTTGTATTTCCCGTCTGAATGTGTAAGATCTCTGTCAATGCTTCAAAATCCTGATAATTCGATACAACCGGATTTCTACACCAAGAAGATTTCTGATTTTCTCTCTCTCAAAGCTGCAACTGTATAAGAACCTTGAAAATCATATATCTGTGTTAAACTATGTCATTCTTTGGCTCTGATGACTTCCTAGATAAGCAATTGCATGTAAAGCTTTTCACCCTGGAGAAGATAATAGCTATTAGTAAATACAATGGTGTGTTTGATTGATATTATTGAGGAGATAATGTATTTTAAATAGTGATATGATGGAAAATATATGGTTAAAAAATAAGGAAAAATTATTGATGTGATGTAAAATATTATTTTATTGAAAAATGTGATTGAAAATGAGTTTTGAAAGAACGTGTGTCAAACAGGGGCTAAGTTTATCGTATTTTTCTGACATGAAAAATTAGATGTAATTTCTTTGATATGTTTTATTACTCATCGTTTTGTTTTCTAATTCGACCGTATCTACTATCTAATGTCAATTCTTCACATACTGAAATAATTGAGGCCTAGGAAAATAAGGGCATAAACCTTTTGTGAGTGTGCGCCTATGCAAATATAGGCACCTCTACTTCTCTTTATTTTCTTATTTGTCTTATCCGATTTTTATTTTTATTTGTTCATTAATATATTTTTATTTTTCTGAGTATCGTTCCTTAAATTGATTATGTTGAGTAGCGATTAAAAGACGAATGACACATCAAATCATTTTTACTTTTTTTATAAAATATTTTTCATATCAATCAAACACACACTTATTATTATGAATACTCAAATTAGATAATATTTTAATAATCTAACCATGGTCAACTAGTAAACTAATTAATCAGCCAGACCCAGTTAAAGTGATCAATTTCTTTCAAGTATTCATTTAACTATATATTTTTTAATGAGCTATAATTCATATTATTTTTTTCTCGAGCTCACAAAGCACCATTTAATATGAGCTTCAAAATGAGTTTGGTATTGATAAGATAATTCTTTCTCCTACAATAATTACCCATTTGAGCCAAACAAATTATTGACCTCGAAACTTATTTTCGTTATAGTTCCTTAAAATCTCAAAAAGTATAAAAAAGTGTCAAAATCATAAATGTTATACGATGATCATTCTCGTCACTACATAATCTTGAATTGTCACATTCTAGTCTGAAAAATATTTTTCAACAGTCACTTAACTTACACTTTTTTTGAATCATCCTTAGTATATTCTCATGACATTAAATTATGGTTCTTAAACTTTCTCATAGTTTTTAGTCGTTAAATTTTATAGAATTTACTAAATTACAGACTCAACTTTTCACAAGCAATAAGTTGCAAATATTAATAATTTCACTATGATTTGTTTCCCTAATTTGCACTTAGGTCCCTAAACTTAGTATTAACGAGTTATATTAGAGAATGATTTCTCAACCATATTTGTTTTCGTCTTAATCACGCTCCCTCTTATAGCTTTATATATATACTAGTTTTCCGCCCGTGCAATGCACGGGCTGTGTAATTTTTAAGGTAATGTTAGTGTGTGTTATAGAAGCTTATTGGCACTACACTTACGGACATATAAAAAATGTAATATAAGACAGCATGATTTGTAAATATAGCAGAAAGTACAAACATTTAGAAGCCTATGTTTACAATCTGGTAGTAAGAAATAGGCATCATATGCTTGGCTAAACTTAAATCATTTTCTTAGTAAATAAGTAAAGTAATTTTTATAGCGATCCAAATTGGAAATAAGTTGCATAATTTTTCAAGGTTACTCAAAGAAGCTAAAGCAGTGCACTTAGGTCAAAAGATAAAGAAGACAAAAAATTTTAAATGCAAATTTAATCCATGAACAATTAGGTCACTCAAAACTTACTGATGACAGGCAGGTTCATTTCAAGACCAACAAGCTCCAAAAGCTTAAAACCATCCATGTCTGGCATATGCACATCACTGATTACCAGGTCAAATCTCTCTCTATTTTCCCTCAACATTTTCAGTGCCATCTTTGCCTGACTTGTTGTAGTAACTGTAGAACCACAAACAATTTCGAAAAGGCGAATTTAATTATAACTTTTAAATCAAAATATATAAACGTGGATGATAAAGATTTATTCAAGTGCTACCGTGAAATCAATAATGACGGACAGACAGGAGATCTAACAGTCTGAACTGAGAATCAAGGAAATTAAAAAAGACAAAATTGAATTCATGGAATCACTTGGCAAATATGGAGTATAGGTGCAAGATACCATGGCAAACATAGCAAAATTATTTACTGCAGCCTATTTCAGACAAAAATGATAAAGATGACCGCTTTAGGATCTAGCCAAGGGAAATAGCTCATCGGGAGATCCACCAAATAAATTATCAATGTCTTTCAGCATAGTTGGATAACCTCATGAAGGTCAACAGCATTTGCAAAATAACCTAAAACAGGATGTATAAAAATAACCACGAACAAATATAGGCGGACCCAACTGGTTAAGGAAAACGGGAATATAAAGTATAAACACTAAATACATTCATTTTTTATCAAGTTATGAAGAAGTTATGAATTGAGGTACATTCATTTTAGTTTCTTACTTTCTTTAAACAACATTACTTTGGGGGTCGAATACATGAATCACCTTTCTGGGGTCTATTCAAATAATTTTCTAACTCGAGATAAAAACACGTGGACTATTCTATGCTATCTCCTATGACTGGTATACATATAGGTTGTGGTAATAAACTTTACAATGACGAAGTGAAGGTGGTTCAAATTTTTTCTTGCCTGGCTATGTAGAAGTACCTGCTACATCTTCAGAAATTAGATTGGATTGGGATTGTGGTATGGAGTCGACAACAATAGGAGCTTGATCGACTTCCTTTTGAAGGAATATCGAACTGCAACTAAAACAAGACATTTTATGCAAATTTATCTCGACATAATGAGCTGAATAGATATTACATTCTAACACACCACAGACAAGAGAAATAGATAAAATATGGAAACATGTTGAATACAGGAGGGTGGGGAGGGCCTAACGGTTAAAATATGCAGTCATTGCTTCGCTGGAGTGCTTGATGGAATCAAGCTGTCACTGCAATTTTTTCCCTTTAAAGATGGAAAATTGTGGATAAATAATATTGTGCAAAAGATCTTTGGTTAATACATTCCTATGGCATTTTATTTTCTGAAATTTGAAGTAATTGGATAGTCCAGTGTAATGAATCCCCACTTTTGAGTAAATCACATATTGTAATTTTTTAGTTCTTTGGTGACCTCATTTGTATAGCCTATAGAATATTAAACAATGTGATTCAATTTTAGTAGAATTTGATAGGGCGCTTTTAATTGAACATAACTGCAAGTCTACAAACTCATAGCTTTTCTTTGCTTTTAATTTCTCTCTCAAATCGACAAAATTAGAAATTAACTTTTGTGAATACAAAAATCTTAAACAGACAATCAAGTACACATAAATTGAGTTCGGGCAAAAAAATGAACCAAAAAAGAAACCTTACTTGAAGGACAGGAAGAGCAGCAGCCAGGTTAATTACCAAAAACTAAAAACTCATATTTAAGATCTGAAGCTATTAAAGTAAGACCAGAAATACAAAATTAATTTTGAATTCAGAAACCTTACCTTTATTGAAGAATTGAGAGATCTAGAAATTTACCCACTAAAAGAAATACAGAGAGACCGAGAGAGGAATTTGTTCAATTTGTAAAACACAATACCTGGAGCTCGCAGGCGACGAAGATGGGGTTGCAACTGAAATTAGGGATAGAGAGAGAGGGCTGTAATGAATTCAGAAACCGTACCTTTTATTGAAGAATTGAGAGATCTAGAAATTTACCCACTATAAAAGAAATACAGAGAGACTGAGAAAGGAATTTGTTCAATTTGTAAAACACAATACCTGGTACTCGCAGGCGACGAAGATGGTGCTCGGCTCGCGAGAGGAGAGATATATACAGAAAATTTGAGGGTAAGATGGGGAGATGAAATACGTCTCGAATGAATAGTAATCACAAAATCCCCTCTTTTAATAGAAGAGGGATTAGTATCTCTAACCTCTTTTTGGTTAAATATTTTACCAAAATTTCGCACTTCAAAAATAGAGAAAGAAAATAGGTATAAATCCAAAAAGTAAAGAAAAAAATATGCATGGGTTTATAGAAAAGAGCTACATGAAACCATTAGAAATGTCAGCCTCTTCAGTAACTGCTTAACGCACTGGAAAAAGCCTCAAAATAAGCAAAAGTTGGCTTCTTTCCACTCAAAAGCCGGAATTTCTGAACTTTGTTTAATCTATGTAAATAGGAAACACTGTTAAATCTCGTTAGTCTCCATGTTTTGAACACCAACAATGATTTAAAAAAGACCCAATATTTTTATTTTCTGTTATTCAAATAATCAAAACGAAGCCCAGATTTCCATTGATGATCAACAATATTCAATAGCCTTTGAGTGTGTGTGATTCAATGAAGAAAAGCAAAATAGACAGCAACTTGCTAGAAAACAGAAAAACACCATTGAACAGAAAAGAAAAAGAAAAATAAAATTCAAAAATTGTAAAATCTAACCACTTTGCATCAAGTGCGTGTGGAAGAGAGATGAACAATAAACCACCTTGTCGGCATAATAGAGAAAGTGCTCGGCAGCGAGGGAGATGGCGACGATGATTGTACATACGGCGGCCACCACCCAAGTTGGGGTGAACTCTAACATCGCCCCTTCCTCTTCTCCATCGTCACTCATTTTTTCAAATCCGAAAAACTGACAACCCCACCTCACAAATGTGAAAATATCTTCCTGCAAACCAATTAAAAAAAAGATTCAAATTCAACCAAAAGGGAATTCAAATTATCAAGGATGGATCCAAGAAATTTGGGTGCATGGGCTCAAATTCAAAGTCAATAGGTATGTTTTTGAACTAAATTTGGATTCCACATCAATATATATCACCCGACCATCTAAGCCTCCATAGGTAGAAGGCAAGGAAGCTATTAATGCAAGCTTCAGGCAAAAGTAAAACTATAGGTACGAAGAATAAAAGTAGATCAGCTCAACAGATAAGAAACCTAATCACCATGCAGAGGACACACGAGAGACCAAGTGACACAGAACAGAAGCACAAAAATTAAATTCTACAATTAGTTGATCCAAAACAGATTTTCATGCTTCAGAATGAATTACAAGTCATTTTGATATCTAGGCACAATCAATGGTATTTGCTCAACCCATTGGCAACTTACATATTTAGGAGAAATAACCTTGAAAATAATGGCATCAAACACATGGGAATTGCAGAATATGAATTGGTCTAGATCAAACTGATCAATTGTCTGAGGGAACAAGCATGATGTTCATTTGCAACTGTGACAACCTTAAAAACATAATTTTGCCAAACTTCAGCCAATATGAAAACGACAATTTAGCACCATGAGATTAATCTAATCAAACTGAACAAATTATTATTCCTAAAAAAAAAAGCCCCCTATTATAATTCAAAAACTTTGAGAAAATTAGTTGTCAAAAATATATTAAATAACACATAAAGATGTGGAAGCCAATATTATTATTAAGTTACATGAGTTTTGCCAATCCCTGTAGGCCCAACCAACTCTGTTACAACACCAAATGGTATTCGACCACAAAGGACTGCATGAAGTCCTTTTAACCATGTGGGAAGATGGCTAGCCAAGTACTCATTTGGGATGCTATGCTCCAGCAATGACAGAGCCTACAATCACAGTTAATAAATCATTCTTTGGCATGAACGGAAAATATAGTCCTCCAGTACGTTTCTGGTGACAAATTCATTCAGCAACTTGAACCACAATGAAAAATTTGAAGATCAATCTCAACAATAATGCAAGCACGTGTATGGATTAGTTATAATCACGTGCACAACAAGAAAGCCATACCTGATACCAACCAAAGGATATTTATAATAGCAAGCATATTACTCAAATATATTAATATATGAATGGAAAGAAATTATTCATCAAAAAATAGTTATTGGGTAATAAGTTTGTTGTCAAACCTATTGAAGGCAGGGCAATGGCTGCAGCTGTTCAAATAATCGAATGCTTGTTTCTTCATTTATGTTCAAATAATCATATGCTTGTTTCTTCATTTAGATCCACCACAGCAATCTAGAATTAAAACTCTTCAATATACTAACAAATAATGAAAATTTTTTAAGATGAATTTAACTGCGAACTTTAAGGTTAAACTAAAATTCAGCAATATTTGTGTTAAGAAAGTATACCTGATTTTTGTGATAAGGCATCAGAAGAGATACTGTAGTGTCCCATTTGAATTTTGAATGATATTCATCCTAATATGCCACATAAACAGATTATTAAAACAGAGGTAGAATTATACAGTTACAGTAGAAGATTCGAATTGAAATAAATTCAGTTTTGCATCTTATTTGAGCAAATTAGTATTTCACTTACCAGAATGTTGGGGTCAATAGACAAGAAGATAAAATATAATAAATTGAAGATGTAATAGTTGCAAATATATTTAAAAAACCGGTGAGTTAAGCAGAAAAAAAAAATAAGTTAAATAAAACAAGAATAAAAGTAAAGACAAAATGTTGTTCAAGATTTTAATTTTACCAGTCGAGCAGTGATGATGACACCAGCCCACAGAGGCAATAACCCATGGCTCAAAATCTTGATAGCTATTGCACTACCAATCACCTCCTCTGTCGTTGTGATGTTATACAAAGCAGGGATTGTCTTCTTGTTTACCCAAGTAATTATAGCATCTCTACAACATAAATAGTGAAGACGAGCAATTTAGTCTAATGTAACATCCACTTCTAACAACATATGAACTTGTAAATTGTATACAATTTAAATAATTGATTCTACTTTAAAAAGTATTAGTCTAGCATTCTGTAGTATTAGTTTCTAAAGTGCAATTGTACATAGAAGAACATGCAAAATAAATAAAAAACAGAACATAATCTAATCGATCAATGAACTATTCTGGAAAAAATAGACATAATTGGATGACAGAAAATACTCAACTATTATTGTTAAATTAATAAGATATCATCTCCACAAGAAACATTTTATGAGGTTTAGTTTAGCTATGAAAATATTAACACAATAAAACTCCAAAGAATCGGACCAAATGAGAAAAGAAAACACATGGGCTTAAAAAACATCTCACGTTCTAATCGATAAAGTAGGATAAATAATGACAGTAAAGAAATCGAGAAATATATAGTAAAATGGATAGAAAGTTGTAGAAGCTTATTACCTTGGTTCGAAGTTTACAACCAATTTTGTTTGGGTGATTGAGGCAAAAACACACGGACTAATTTTGCACGAACTTGTCCTCACAGTCAGTGAGGCTCATGTTGTAGTTGTTGTCGAATCTGTAAAACCAATATTACATTATACATCAATTTGGGAGTGACCACCAATGAAGGTGAGTAAAGACATACTAACGGGAGATCATCAATGAAGTCACTGGAGATTATATCCGAAAGACGTGGGTTATAACCTGTTGGATTGCAAATCACAGCAAGATTTATTGTCCATATTACAAGAAATATATAAGATTCACATCCCGGTGAGCCTCATCGACAATTCATGAAAGATACAAAGCTCAACAAACACGCAAAATCCAGTCAATGTTCGCATAATCCTAGCAAAGTTTTCCGAATTAACTCATCTAAATGTACCTAACAAAGCGTAATAATATACTGCTTAAATCCTTAAATCCACTTGAGAGTATTTCCAATCATATTCTTAATATTTGAAGGATAAAATAATCATTACTGCAAAATCAAAATCCCACTTTTAGCAGTCCAGATAAGTGAAAAACTACATTTTGGCAGATAAGAGTACCAATAAATCTTCATTCGGTTATGTAGGGATCATCAAATGACCAGGTGAAAAGAGAAATGCGACCAACAAAAGCAGTAGCACAGACAGATGTTAAAGAGCAGCATAAAGTCACATAATTATTGACCAGGGCGTGAAAATGACTTACAAACCTTCCAGCTCATATAAACCATCATCATTCGTGGAAACAGACTCACGCTGCTCTCCATCGCTTGCTTTGCATCGCTCTTCATAAAAAATATGAGAATATTTTTCATCTAGAGAGTCCTCCCACTGAGAGAGGATATTTTACAGTCATGCAAATCACAATAAAAATGTAAATGCTTTATTAACTGGATGGTGATAACATACCTTGGGCAGT